CAGATCTTCTGTAAATAACCTTAGGCATGCGTCTTAAGGAAAAGGTAATGGCCATTGTTAAAGTGGTTTTTTAAAAAGTTTTATACTATATGTCCTTGATTTAACATGAATAAACAGATTTTGACAAAGGGAGGAAATAAGTTAGAGGCAGCTCATAACAAGAGCTTCTTTATGAAGGTATATTATATAGGGTATTCAAAGCCTGTTTTGCTTTTCTGATCACTCTAGGACATAATTAGTAGTACTTGTTGGTACTAACATTGACTTTTGACATCTGAACTAGAGCTCTGAGTGTTTAATGGTCCACTCCTTTGAGGTCGGGTGCCTGCAGGCCTATACTCCAAGTGCGGCACCATAATGTCTACACTGAGTGGTTTGCATTGCGGAGCACAGCTACCTAGGAGTGGCAACCTGTGCTCTGGGGCAGCCAGGGAAATACTGTTGTTTGATATCCGGGGCTTGACTTTGTCAAACAGCTCTTTGTTGCACCTACCTTTGCTTTGTCAAATGTAAATCAGATAATAAACACGAGTATCTTCTTAAATTTTCATTTGTCTTCCTGTGTAATTAGTCCCAGTTCTTTTCACTGAAAGTCCTGCATGAAGTCTTCCCATTTTGTTTTTTTTGGTACAGCCAACACACAACAAACCAACAATAGTCATAAGTAGTAAACAGATCTTACTGTATTTTCTCAAGATATTTATTAAAATTTTCTTTTTCTTGCCTTCTCAGCAAAATACTAATGTTAGTAGCAGCAGTCCTCTTCCTGGGCCTTTGGAAAGAAAGGAGCCTTTTATGCAATGCCAAAGTTCCCTAAATTCAACCAGAGAAGAGCAGTTAACACTTAGCCCCCTTAAAAGCCTTCATTTTCTTCCATTCTGTTTTGGAGCTGACAAAGTTGTACTAGTATCTAAAAGGAGTAGGAGGGGAAATCCCGAAGTCGTGTTAATTAGTGCTACGCCTTGGCCAACTCAGTGACTGGGGTTTTCCTTTGGAACCTGCCTCTTTTGTAGCTTTGTTTTTAAACACTATCCACATAAGACCCAAATCCTGCTCTTTACATCATAACAAAACACTTAAATATAAAACAGACTCAAATTAAATATCCAATCTCTAGCTGGAGATGGACTTGACTAGGTGACTAGTCAAATCTATCCATTGTTCTCTGTAACCACTTTCCCTCCCTTTTAGCTTTTAAAGGCTGTCCCCAGCTAGTCTGCTCATGGTGCTTGGAGTTGTGGCAACCACAAGGCTCCCCTCAGCACACTGAGGTTGCATGACAGAAATATGAAAAGAACCCAGTTCTTCAATGACATTGCAGAGTCTGCTTTAATTCTGGTAGCACTCCCTTTATACTTTGTAGTTCATGAAATTAATGAACCTCTTTGATTTAAGCCACTTTCATTCAAGTGATAGTTGTACATGCTAGAACTGACAGCTGGCCCACACTTACAGGAATATTGGTGTTTCTCAAGGCTTTGTTCTAGAGCCTCTTCTCTTACACAACACCCTTTCCCTGGGTGATGGCATCCACTCTCTTGGCTTTAAATATCTACTCTGAAGACTCCTAACGTGTTTCCAGCCCACACTCTTCTTTGGAATTCCCACACGTGTAATAGACATCACCACTTGGGTGATGTCTCGCTGGCACCTCAAACTCAACATGTCCAGGCCTGAAGTGGGGCTCTACTCCCCTGAGCCTGTTTATCCCCAGACTCTCCCATCTCAATAAATGGCACTGCCAACTACTCAGTTGTTCAAGTTAGAAACCAAGGAGTCATCGTTGCCTCCTCACCCCAACATCTGGTTGCATCCCACTGCTGTTCCCTCAGTTAAGGCCACCACTGAGCCTCATTTGACCACTAATTTGGTTTCCCTGCCTGTCTTGGCCCCTCCAATTGTTTCTCTACATTGCAGTCAAAATGATGGTTCTAATATGCAAAACTAGTCAGATCCCTTCTTTGATTAAAACTTGTCTCGTTAGACTAGGAGAGAAATCATGCCATACACTCCCACTGCATCTGGTTTGCAAGCCTCATTGTGCTTTTGTTGGATGTATTGTGTTTCCCCCACTAGTCTCTAAGCTCGATGGAGCACAGGAACTGATGTATATTCCCCACCTCACAAAAGTGCCCGGCACACAGTAGATAATAATGTGGAGTAGAATGAATGGACGAGTTTATATCAATGTTTGTAAACTGGGCTGTGACCCATCAGTGGATCATGACATCAAAGTAGATTTATAATCAACTTTCATTTTAAATAAAAGGAAAAAATAGACGAGAACAGTATGTAACAATGGTATAATTTCATACAACTTTATAATAAAGTGTGTAATATATATATATTTTTTTTAAATTGATTTCGGAGAGGAAAGGAGAGGGAGAGAGAGATAGAAACATCAATGATGAGAGAGAATCATTGATTGGCTGACTCCTGCACGCCCCACAATGGGAATCAGGCCCACAACCCAGGCATGTGCCCTGACCGGGAATCCAATAGTGACCTCCTGGTTCATAGGTTGATGCTCACACTGACTGGGCTAATATATATTTCTTTTGGATTTCAGTAAAATAAAATGAAAGCCACTGGCCTATAATAAGCATTTTTTTTTTCCTATAATGAGAAAAAGCAGCCTTAGAGGGGAAAAATCTGAACTTCCAGCAAAACGACTCCTGCCCTTGGGGATTTGCACTTACAGATTTCAAAGCTTGAAATTCAAGGAAGAAAGTGCCCACTTTAGAGTTTAGGTTTCGGTGAGCAAATGACAGAAGCTTAAACTCCATCACAGATTCTGTCTGGCAACTACAGTCATAGGCCAGTTAAGCCTAATAGTGCTCTATTTCCTCTGAAAGTGTATCTTACGTGTATTTTATCTTATGTCTTGGAGAGTTTCTTAACTGGCTGCTTCTCCAGCCTTCTCTCTTTAAGAGCAGAGTGAGCAAAGGAGGCCATTCTGTTTCCATAGCAATGAAAGAAACAAACCTTCCCCAACCATTTACCAAGGACAAACCTCACAACTCAGAAGGGCCAAGCTAAGACAGTCTGAATAGAGGGGTGACTTTCTCCCCTAGTTTGACCTTCGTTGCAACATTGAAAGACTTAAACTGTTTGTCCTTAGAAAGGACATTCATGCTCGTGCCGGTTCAGCCTTTGTAAAAGCCTGTGACTGGATCCCCTGGAAGTCTGTCTCTCTGTGCTACACATACTCCCCATTTTCTGCTTTGGCATTTCAATCACTTGGAATGATCACTAAAGTCTTGAGTTCTGGAACCTCTGGATTTGACTTAAAATGAATTTTGATTTTGTGTGGATGGGAAACAGTTTCTCTCTAACATTGTGATGTCATTAAGACTCTTGACTCGGCAAGAAACCACATGGGAAAAACAAATCTTTGGGCAGACCAAGGTAAGTTCTTTGGAAAAGACGTTTTATATAACTATTTTCTTCTGATTAATTAGTACCAGTGACCTTTCTGAAGGCTCAGCTGGCTCACTGATGGCCACCAGGTGGCACTTTCAGTCCACTGAGCCTCAGGTAAAACCATCAGGGAGAGATGCAGGAAAGGAAAAGAACGGGGAGAAAACAATCCTAAATCACACACACACACACACACACACATCCTTATATTCTTAGAGTACACACACACACACACACACACACACACATCCTTATATTCTCAGAGCCATACAGTGCAACATCAAGCCACTGTGACTGTAGGAGATCTATCTATGCTGATGTGGAACTATCTACTACATACCCTCCTATGCAAAAAGAGGGTGTGCAGTAGAGGGTGCAAAGTATGCTCCCATTTAGGTGAATGTTATATATATTTCTGGAAGGGCGCTAAAAATACTAACAGTGGTTACCTCTTGGAAAAACACTGAAAGTGGAGGGTTGGTGCTTAGTTGGTATGCACAGTTATTGAAATAGTGAAATACTGCCACACGGGTTGTATGTATACATTGTCCAAGACCCCCAAATATCCTCCTTGCCCCCTGGGTTGCCCCAACTCCTCCCCTGGCACCCCAAGCTTCCTCATGATCCCTAACTAAGAGGTTACTGTAGCCTGGCGGGGGGCGGGGGGGGAGTGGGGTCCTCCAGGACCTGGCCCAGCCCCGTAGCCATGTCTATTCTGATCGTCTTACTGGTTGTTACATATTTTGAGTATCATCCCCATGGGTGTTTGGAGAGAAAGGACTTTACTTTTTGAGCAAAAGAATACACACCAGGGCATTGTTTATAACAGGAAACAAAATGCTCATCAATGCAAAACTGGTTAAAAATGTAAGGGGCAAAACAAAATGAAAGGGAAAAAACAAAAATAAATTTTTTTTAAGCAAAAATGTGAATGGATGCATTCATAAAATAGAAATTGAGCCATGATATACAAACAAATCACAGACTTGCTTTCAAGATTTCCTTTAAGTGTAATTTAGACTATAGATTTACTTTAAATTTGCTTTAAAATAATCTGATGTTGGAGGCATGGGCTGGGTATCGATGAATAGATTAATCACAAATTGCTAACTGTTGAACCTGTGTGACAGATTCATTTTACTTTTTTTTCTCTACTTTTGAACATTTAAAAATTTCTCCACAGTAACCAAGTTTTTAAATGACATACTGATCTTCAAAGAACCTCATTACTTAAAAAAGATTATCTAGAATATAAATGGGAGAAATTGTGCCCATTTACGAATAATTATATAAATCTGCTTCTTTAGACTAAGGAGAATTCTAGAAGACTCTAGCCAAAATATTGCCAGTGGTCCTTCCGAGGTGTTAGCATTTTGGATAAACTTTACTTCCTTCAGGTTATAATTTTCTTTACAATGAGTTTAATCTAACACACACACACAAAATAAACCTATCTCCCCCCCCAAAAAAATTTTTTTTGAAATAGAATCAAAAGCTTCCGTAAACAAATGCCACCGGGTTCATCATATTCCGCCCCCCCGCGCCCCGCAGGGAGCCCCGCGGACGGACAGCCTTCCCGGAAGGACCAAGGACCGGGCTCCGGGGCTCAGGAAAGAAAAAATGAATCTTTGGAGCCTCTGTGCAGTCAGGCCCACCTGACTCCAAAGCCCAAGGAAAATTTTACTAAACCATGTTGTGTGTGTGTGTGAGGGTGGGGGTGGGGGGGTCATAATCCTGACATTCCAGCCCAATTTTCATTTTTCTAGTATATTCTTTTCTAACCCTTTTCTGTGTAGGTACAAACTTTTACATCATTGTATCCATTGCACACATACCATCTCATATCCTTGTTCATGAGCATTTCTTCAGGTTTCCATAGGCTTTCAAGTGGTCAATCAAAATCTAGTAAAACCCCATTGAGTAGTTGCACCGTAAAATACCTACGCATTTTGGGGTTTTGTGGGTTTGTTTTGCGTGTTGTTGCTATTTTTTTTTTTTTGCCTCCATTTATCTCATCGCCCTCCCTCGAAGGAGGGCGTCGCCCACTCCGTCTTCTCTCGTCCTATCACTCTCCCCACCGCGCTCTCCCCGAATAGCCTGCCTCAGAGCCTCCAAGGGACGTAAGGGACGTATGCGCGGGAAAAACGTGCGTGCGCCCAAGGGACGTACGGGGTAAGGGGCGTACGCGCGGGAGTGCGTGCGCTGCGCCCAAGGGAC